TGTTTTTTGCAAAAAATCATTTTTTATTATTGTAAAAATACACATAACACAGCATTTGACAACCGAACAATTTCTCACATGTGCACTTCAGTGAAACCAAGGACACGAATCGTGGTGGATGACCTCTGCCAGCAATTACTGCCGGTTTTCCCATCCCCACAAACTCACCCCCACTTCTTCTCACTGCTGGGCACCACTACTCGAGCTTCCATCTCCGCAATTAGAAACTTCACACAAGTGGGGTCCGACGACACGTGGCCTTTGTGACAGAGTTACTCCACTCAGCAATTGGTATTCAAGGCTCAGCCGTTGTCTTGTCATAGCGCCTCAGGGTCCATTTCCCCTCATGGTGCCTCTGTGTCTGGTCTGTTGCCTCCCTGCAAGCTGTTACTGCCGAGGAGGACAGAGCGGGGTGCCGGCCCGTACTCCCGCGGGCGCAGTGCAGACAGTGGACGGTGCTCTGGAACTATGCCAGACGCCCTTTGATCACACTTCCCTTGGCCTCGGGTTCTGATTGGGTCTACCTGGTTTCTGACATTGTGATTACATTTTTATCTTCTACAGACAATAGCTTGTGACACGTGAACACTGTTTCACTGTCTTCTCCAGGCTTTGGCCGCACAGCAGAGCCCACTAGAGCCCCCCACCCCCACCCCCGGCACTACACAACAGCAGCCAGGCCAGAGCCTGCTGCCCGACCCGCTTGGGACTTACGTCTGTCATGATTCTTGGGACACTGTATGTGGGCCACCCAGGCTGCCAGGCCCTGGGGTCCAATCCTTAAGACAGCGGTGTGAACCAAGTGTGAGACAGACTGATCTACTGCGTGTGCAATGGTTCCGTGTGGACGTTGAGCACCTGCCCTGTCCAGCTGTGTGAGCACTTCCTGGGTGATAGGAAGTCCTCACAGTAGCTCTGGGTGTTAGGAGCCTCCGTCATTTTATAGGGTGGGGAGGAGGGATAGCCCCCAGGGGCTGGCTTGGGCCACCTCCCCAAGCAGCTGTGTGGATGGAAGGCCCCAGGGGCTTCTCTGACTCCCTCCCACTGCTGTCCTGTTGGCATAGCACCCCTGCTGTGAGGCATGCCCCGTAGCCCTGGGCTCACACTCGCTGCCCTGCTGAGACCGTGGTCTACCTCCATCCCCTCTTCTGTAGCAGCTATGACACCCGCCCCTGCTTCCTGGCCATCCTTCCCCATCTGTCTGTCCCATCCAGACAGGGTCCCAGGTGCCGGGAATGTGTATCTGCTGGATGACTGGGAAAACCTGGCGAAGTCTTAGACACGTGACTGTACTTGCCAGCCCAGCCATAGAGGCAGAGCTCCCCTCCCCCTTAGTTTCTAAGGCCCCAGGGCCCCAGCCACCTCTCCTGCAGCTGTCCTGATTCCATCCCAGGCCCCAACAGGGTCCATTGTGATGCTGGGGACCCCAGGTAACCAGCGGCATAAGTGGAAGTTGTCACCTGACCCCAGCACCTAAGCAGGCAACAGCCACACCCCGATTTTCATGTGACAGCTGCAGCAGACAGACACGAGCTGCACTGGGGGTGAGCCCGTGTGCCCACGGGGCTGCCTGCTGTGCACGGTGCCAGGGCCACTGTGACCGGGTGCTGTCCACTGCACCTGCAGGCACTAGAATGTCACGCCAGGTCAGTGTCTGAGAACCAGACCTTCATTTCCAGCATCGGCCTGGTTTACGGGAAACAGCCTGCTTTCTCCCGACTGCCTTCTCCAAGAACGTCCTTACCCATGAGAGGACTCTGGAGTCCACTGTAAACAGCTGCATTCTAAGTAGCCACAGCAGTAGTTTCCTGGCAAAGTGCCCACACCTACATGCCACCAACCACAGTAGCCCACAGCTGAGATGGTGGTACCCCATGTCCGTTCCCAGCCAGGCAAAGGCCATCCCAGGTCAAGTACAGTGGTTGCTTTCAATGCTTAAAGCGGTCACAGCTTTGCAATGCTGTGACTCCGTGGCCACAGGGCTCCACTGGAGGTCAGGGCACAGAAGGCAGGCAGGGCTGGCATCTGATTACAGCGAAGGCGGGACAGAGGTGAAGGTGCACAGGGCTGTGTGGACCACGGGCCACAAGCTTCATCCTTCATTAAAGCATCACGATTAATACCAAGTTTATTCCACGTAACCAAGCCCAGGAAACGCTGCCCTCCTCTTTTGTCCAAGATGGGGAGTACTTGGCAGCCACAGCATCTGCCTTAAGCACTGCGGCTCGGGCAGCGCCCAGCCATGGGGAGCCTCCACCCATCCCTCCAGATCACTGCCTTACAGGGTGGCCTCAGGCTCAGGGCCACAGCTTCAGTGTCAGTGGGTCTGCAGAACACACATGGGGCCTGAGGGCCGGCACGCTGAAGCAGGGCTGGGATGGTCCCTGCAGTGCCTGCGCCGTGATCAGGCACGTCGTCATCTGGCGAGCCTGCCGAGTGTGCAGGAAGGTGCAGGCGGCCAGCTGTGTCCTGGACTCTGCCCACTGACCTTGACCTGACTGCTGGCCCTGTATGATGGGAGCAACAGCAGGGCCCCAGCTCACCATGGTCACAGCCACCTCTAGAACCAACTGCTGTGGCCCGGCCCCTAAGTTCCCAGCTCACAGATCCTAGCACCTGCGGAAGGCCTGCCGCTCCACCCCCAAGGGAGCCCGACCTTTGATCCTAGACGCGCGTGTCCAACTCCCAGGCCCAGCACTAGCAGCGACCTTCGCAGCCCATCAGCTGGCTGGAATCAACAAGGCCCTGGGGCGGCAGGCACAGCCATGCACACCGTGTGGGCTTGTCTCCACACAGCCCGGTTAGAATCTACTCTGTCCATCTTCCAGAAAGGACGCAGACCTGGTACGCCAGAGGGCGGGCTGCCATCATGACAGAGCAGGGCCCTTCACACCTAGCGATGGGTTACGCCAGGGGTGGGTGTGGCCCCAGGCCTCCACAGCACTGCTTTGCACGCACTGCAACTGGAGGACCAGCGGTAGGCGGCTGCCCACTGCAGGGCACCCACAGCCACCGGGCCAGGAGGTAACAGACGGTGGCGGTTCACAGGCTGTGACAGAAATGAAAGCGGGTCCTACACAGGCCTGCTTTTGGTAACGTGGCCTTAGTGACGTCTGAGTTGATTCTGACTCGGAACCTCCCTGTCACATAGAACTGCCTCACAGGGTTTTCTGGCTGTAACCTTCACGGGTGTGGACTATCAGATCTTTTTCTGCAAAGCAGGGTTGGCTAAGTGCTTAACCGTTGAGCCACCAGGGCCCCTTCAGTATACACCACAGATCCTGAGAATGCCAGCTGAAGAAACTTGTCAGTGGTTGCAGGCACCCGTGGGGTTGAGGGAGGCTCAGATCTGCTTGTGCCATAGGGGTCCTCGTATGGTGCTGCTGGGAGGTTCTCCTGTGGGGTCGTGTCCGGTAGGCAACCATGACAGGGTCAACCTCGTTGGTGCTCAGCCCGGGGCTGACATGGGTGGGTGACTGGTTCTTCCCAGCTGGTGTCCTCTCCGCACAGGCAGCGGGACCACCCACCCTCCCCATAACGTGGAGGAGTGCCTGCTGCTCTGTGATCAGCTCCAAAGCCGCCACTGCCCTGGGCTTGCTCCAAGTTCTACCTTTGTTTTCTGGTAAACACCGGCCATGTTGCTTTCCAAAGCCAGCAACAGACAGCACTGCTGGTCCCCTGCGATGACGGCCCCTCGCGTTTGTCAGTTCTCTGAGACCCCTTGCTAGGAGGAGCAGGACCCCAAAGGCTGGTTCTAAAGCCACTGCCTTTGTTTCCTGAAGGTCACAGCGCCTCGTGTTGTCCAGCGGCAGGCGGCTGTGGTAAGCCTGCAGCAGGCGGCCTCCACATCCCAGCAGGTGAACGTTAACAGTCACAGTCATGGCTCAATCCCCACAGGCCCCGCTGCTTTTTCTGAGCTGGAACATTCTCGTGGATTTATGCCCTTAGGATGGTTTTTCCAGACAACGTTCACGTGTTGCTGGCTGGCGAGTAGGCCCATTTGGAAGTCAGTACCAAGTGATTGTTGATTCTGTGAGCAACTTAGACTAAGCCTCGGGGGGCTGTTGATGCAGACAGTTGTTTGGTTACTCTGGGTGTGCTTTCTTGAAGCTGACCTGCACACTGACCCGCTGGGCGTTGTGTTAGACGACAGGCTGTCCCCAGGCCTGGGCAGGTCCCTGCGGCTGGCAAGGCCCAGAGTCAGCAACGAAAAGCATGAGCAGGGGTGCTTGTCGCCAGTGGCAGCTTGAAACAGCTGAAGATGGTGCACAGGCAGGTGGGAGCTGGGCTGCTGGTGCTCGTCTTACGCATGGTCCCTGGTGCCTGCTTGGAGCTCAGCCCCAGGCTGCACTCTGCACACGCGCTGCGTTCCTGGCCACAGACTGTGTCCGCGTCCTGCAGGTGGCGTCATCCAGGTTGGTTTGAGTGCACTCATTACAGATAGTCCCTTTGGTTCACGATGTCACAAAGTATCACTCAGCACAGCTGAGTGGCCCTGGTATCGGGAACCTGCCTTCCTCAGTCACCCACCGACCGACGTGACTGCAGGGCTCCAGGCAAAGACAAAGTTTCACTGTTGGTGTACCAGCCCACCGACAGCACGGTCGTCCTTACCAGCCTGCAACTGGCACTCCTCTGGAACCACACCAGCCTGCCAACAGCACGGCTGGCACTTCTACCTTGTTTATCGTATGCCCAGGTAGTGCTGCGTGTGAAACGTGACAGCGCAGCTTTGTTTCACACAGACACCCGTGACAATGGGAGTACCTTCACCAATGCACCTCTCTGCCCTCCTTGGGACCCATGAGTGCCTGCACTAGGTGTGGACGCACCCCCCCCCGACAACATGACAAGCAAGTGAGGTTTAAGGAGAGTTGGGTTGTTCAGCAGCCCCCTCTCCATTCCGTCCCCAGCAGCAGAGTCTACCGCCTCGACCAAGACACCACTCCACGGCAGGTCTTCTCACGGCAGCACTCAGTGTCTCCTGGGAGGCAGCTCACCTAGTCTTCTGCTTCTGCTCCTCCTGTGGGAGCAGGGAGGTCAGGCCTGCCCCAAGCTGGGCCTCGCTCACCTAAGCACCGCCCCCAGCGACCCCACAGCGCCTCTGGAGCCCTCTGCACACCCTCAGCCCGCAAGCGCCAGGTTGCTCAGGGTCCGTTCTCTTTTCTAGTCCCTGTCTGCTTTTCTCCGCATTTCAACTTTGGCAACTTCAGGCTTTTCTAGGCCCCTCCCCTGGGACAGCCTGTGTTGCCCCCAGAGCCCTCAGGCCCTCACCCTAACGGTCCTCTCTAGCTGGGCCAGGGCTGCCTCATAGCGTGGGACCAGTGGCTGCAGCAGCTCCCCCGGAACCTCGTGCCGCCTGAGCTCTGGCACACCCGCGCCCGCCAGCATCCGCAGAAACTTCTGCTCCTGAAGGAAGAGCAGGGGCTGTGTCCTGGGGGCCAGGTAAGCCAGGGCCGCCCTCCCCCCTGCCCTCGGCACAGGCGGCAGCCCACCTGCACCCGGAGCAGCAGCGTGAAGGCCCGTCCAGCTCGTCCTGCTCGTGCTGTCCGTCCAACCCTAGAGCCAAGCGGGGGTTGTGGGACCAGAGGCCCTCGGGCCACCCCCCCCCCCACCAGGCACCTCCCCACCTCTGCCCCACCTGTGCACATAGGTCCGAGCGTACTGTGGGGCATCGTAATTGACCACCAGCTCCACCCCTTGAACGTCAATGCCGCGGGCTGTGGCGTCTGTGCTGATGAGGCTGCGTGTCACGGGGTTCAAGTGAGGCCACGCAGGCAGATGCCCCTGTGAGCCCAGGCTCCACCCCCTCTCCCCGGAACTCACAGCCGAACCTTGCCCTGCTCAAACTGCTTCAGGATTTTCTTCCTCTGGCTGGGTGCGTGGCGAGAGGAGAACTCGGCCACGCTGACCCCCCCAAATGCCTGGATGAGCAGGAAGAGCCTGTGGGGGGGAGGGGTAGGCAGAGCTGAGGGCTGAGTAGTAATGGTGCCTGGTGGTCACGGGGACTGTGCCAGTGGGAACACCCAGGCTTTCCTCAGCTCCCAAGGCTGTCTCGTGCTGAGAGTTTCCACAGCCACGCTCTTTACCCACCATGCTCTAGTCTCAGAAAGACCAGTGGTCACGTGCCCTAACAGGCTGGGGCCCAGGCCCACATGCTCGCCACCCACGTCCTCCAGGACACCTGAATGAGTAATACAGCATTCCCACTTCGCGTCCTCTACCTGATGTGTGATATCCCAGCCAGGGCACCATACCCACTGGGGACAGCTAAGTAGAAGTCAAACACCCAGGACACGCATGTGGCCCGCCCCCCCACCCCTGCACCTGTGGGAGTTCTCGCGGGAGTTGGTAAAGCAGAGGACCCTCGAGAACTGTGTGGTCAGGACCAGGTGCAGGACGGCGAGCGGCTTGGCGCTCAGCTTGCAGGGCACATAGTGATGCTGCAGGATGACATTGCAAGGTTGGTCCCAGAGCTCAGCGCCCGAGTGCCCACCCCATGCCCACCAGCCCCCCACTTACTGCCAGTCCTTCTGGGAAGGCGTACTTCCCGCCCGTATCCTCTGCCGCGTCAACCCCGCCTTCGGAGCCCTTGCTCTCCAGCCCTGTGGAGAAGAGCTGGGGCTGGTAGAGGCCAAGCTGCTGGAGCTTCTCAGGGTTCTGGGTCAGGGTAGCCGAGAAGAGCAGCTTCTGCAGAGGCATCTGGGGGGCGCAGGTGCTGGGGGCGGGTATGAGGGCACAAGCGAGCTGATGAGGGGCTCACAGGGCGGGAGGCCCTGCTCACGGCCCTCCTCTGCGCGCCACCCTGGGGACACCCTAGGCTTGGGCTCCAGGGGGGAGGGACTCCGAGGAGGTGGCAGCGGGGCTACCTGGCAGCAGTCACAGCCCTCAGTGGCCCTCGCTGAAACAGCGCACAGGGGTCTGCCGGGCCCTCGCACCGGAACACAGCCGCTACCACGCGTGGCAGCCAGGACTGGTGCATGCTGTCCACCATGCGGTCTGCCTCGTCCACCACCTGCAGGGACAAGTCTAGTGGCCGAGGGGACACAGGGAGGCCCCAGCCAGGCACAGGGTTGGTGGCCTACCAGGAAGCGCAGCTGCTGCAGGCTGAAGCCAGGGGTCTGGTCGATGTGGTCCACTAGGCGGCCAGGGGTGGCCACCACGATGTCGGCCAGGCAGCGGTAGCCATTTGCTCTGTGGAGCACAGTGCGCATGAGCCCAGGACACTTTCCCGGCCCTCCTGACAACAGATGTTCACACCCCCACCAGCGGCGCTCGCTACACCAACGGCAACGGTGGGGTGGCCCACAGGACCTACGTTCTCTGGACAAGGCTCTCCTGCTCCTTGGCCAGTGCCTTCTGCCCAGTGACCAGGGCGACATGCAGGGGTGTGGCAGCCGTGTAGATGTGGAACACCCTGCACACCTGGAGAACAAGCAAGTTGTCAGCAGCTTGGGGAAGCTGTGCTCCCACTCATTAAGGCCCCGCCCCAGAACACAGGCCACTGAAGTCCATACCTGCTGTGCCAACTCCTTGGTGGGTAACACGACCAGAGCCCGGACATGGCACACCACCCGGTGCAGGAGGGCCTGGGGGCAGGGGGCGTGTTAGCAGGGCCCTGCTTCCTGTGCTTGGCCCACCTAGGCCGGGGGAGCCACTCACTCACCTGGACCACAGGAATGACGAAGGCCAGCGTCTTCCCGCTGCCAGTCGGGGCTGAGACACAGAGGTCCCGGGGCCAGAAGCCCCCTCTCCCCACCAGAAAGCCCCCCGCTGCACTCTGCAGGAGAGTGGGGATCACAGCTGCCTGGACTGGGTCGGGGCATAAGGCAGTCAGGGCACTCGGCCATCATAACGCCAGCAAGCTGCCCCCCGGCCATGCAGTCCACCCAGCTCCAGGCACAGGGCGGGAGGCCCTCAGAGCCACAGGGAGAGACGGGGCTGGGTTGTGGGTTGGTAGCTGGGGCCTTGTGGCTCTGGGTGGGGACATGCTGGCTGTGGTGTGACCTCACCTGGGAAGTAGGATGAGATGCCCTGGGCCTGCAGCTTCCTCTGCAGGTCAGGATGGACCTCAGGGATGTCCTGAATGGGGACGAGGTGCTCGGTGACACTCTTCCCCACTCGGCGCGGCTTGGCCAGCCACGTGGGCAGTAAAGGCTGGACCTGTCCCGGAGGGGAGGCAAACCCAGCAGGTGAGTGCCTGCGGCAACCAGGAACAAAACAGCAAAGCACACGGGAGACAGGCCCAGGTTAAGAAGGTGGAGGGCAGGGAGATCCAGAGAAGCCTTCCCCAGGTGCCCTCTGCTTTCATGGCAACCCACCCCTACGTGGCTCGTAAAGGTTGACACACACTCAGAAGATGGCGCTGCCTGCCCACCGCATCTGCAGGCCCTCGGTCCCCATACTTCCCCACAACTGTAGCAAAACCCCCTCAAAAGCAGCCCTGGGCGCCCTGCCCCGCTGGTCCCGTTCCTGTGCCCGAGCCACTAATGGCCCTGCTCTGAGAGCTCGCTCCTGTCCCGGTCACCCCAGCCTCGTCCTCGCTGGAACACGGCGCCAGGGCTCCTACCTGGGCAGCCTCAGCTGTGAGGTCCCAGCCTCCTCAAGGCCTTTCCCTGACACCCCCGCCCACTACACTAAGCCCCCAGCGCCCTCAGCCTGAGGTCTGTGCTCAGCCCGAGGGACTCCACATTGTTACTGCTGCCGCCTGGCTCCTCTGCAGAACTTCCCCTGCATTCCTAACCTAAGCGCACACAGCTTCTGCAGGAAAATGTGGTCCTGCCCGTCTTGTTCTGCTGATTTCAGACTCGTGGCTAGGCATGGCCAACGTTACTCAGCACAGGCAGGTGTCAGGCGCGGTGTCAAGTACGTGAGTCTGGTGGGTACGTGTACACGTATCCAGAGACACCGATACCGGAAAGCCGCTGCCGGCTCCGCACCGGATCGCCGCGATAAATCGCGCATTGCAATAAAAGGCAGCGCGAGTCTGGGCGCCCCAGGACGCGTGCGCGCTGTGGGCTCTGTGAAGCGCGCGCCAGCGCAACGTCCAAGGACGCACGTCTGCACGCACGCTCCGGACTGAGAGCCTCCCACTCAGCCGCACGCCGCCACCTGGGGCGTCCTTCCGGGCAGAGGCAGTCAGGTCCTCCTCCAGGTGTGCAGCGAAGATCCGTCCACCTGCAAACGGTACCGTCTCCGAAACACCCAAATGGACCCCGCTTCCGGGTGCGGCTTTACCTCCGATTCGGAACCCCTCGGAGTGCCGTCAAGACCCTGGGGCCTCGCTTTGCAAACCGCTTTCTCGCCACTGTTCGGACTTGGGCTTGATGGACGACCGCTTCCTCTCCACAGCCGTGCCCGGCCTCGGCAGCACCGGGCGGCTTAGTGCCCGTTCACCGACGCGCGGGGCCCAAGGCCTCCGGGACAGCTCCGCGGCCGCGCCATCCGACCCACCCTCGGAGCCGCTCACCTTCGGCGCCCTCCTCCGCTCGAAGCCGCCAAGCAGCAGGGCGCGGGCTGGAGCTCCCGAGGCTGCTTCCGGCGGCCCTTCCCGCGGGGTCTCTGAGGCCTCCTCCACCGTCTCCGCCTTGGCGTGCACGGCGCCCTCCTCCGGCGCCTCGTCGCCCCGACCTGCGTCCGCGCCGCTACCAGCCGCCTTCGGCCGCTTCCTCCGCGGCGCACCGGGGCTCTCGGGCTCACCGCTGCTCCCGCGCCGTCGCCGCCGCGGCCGCCGACGCCGCTTCCCCGCCGCCTCAGCGATCGCCTGTGAGGGCGCAGACCGCCGCTGCTGCTGCCGCTCCCGGGCCCGGCTCTGCAGCCGCTCCAGCAGCTTGCGGGCGCGGCCGTCCGTGTCGGTCTCCGCCTGGGCCGGGCCTGCCTCCTCGGGCCCCGAGTACCGAGCGACGTGAAAGAGCGCCATGGCCAGCCGAGCTACACGAGACTGCGAGCTCGGCGCCGGCGTGACGTACGGGCGGTCGCGCCAGGCTATGACGTCACTTGACGTCACGGGCGCGCCGGGCGGTGGGGCGGAGTCCCGCCCGTTCCGCGTGGGGCGGCGGCGGCATGGAGGCGGATGGCGGCACCGGGGGCAGGGGCCGGGCGCTGGGCCGACTGCTGGAGGCAGTGCTGGCCAGCCGCGGCGAGGCCAACGCCGTGTTTGACATCCTGGCCGCGCTGCAGGTCCCGGCGTGGGAGGCCCGGGAGCGGCTGTGGGCAGGGACGGGGGGTGAGAGGAGAGTCCGGTGGGAGCGGGACCCGGGGCCGGCACACGGTGCGGTTCAGGGGGAGTCCTCGGGTCCGGAAGCGCTCCCCGGGTGTGTGACGGCAGCGGGGTCCGCGGGAGGCGCGAGCGGCCGGCATCCCGTGCTCACGTCCGGCCTCGCCCTGCAGGCTGAGCACCCGGAGGAGATCCAGGAGGCCATCCGCACATGTAGCCGCCTGTTCGGGGCTCTGTTGGAGCGGGCGGAGCTGTTTGTGGGCCGGCTGCCCTCGGAGGAGGCGGTCATGGCAGGTGAGGGAGGGAGAAGTGCCCCGAAGCCCTGGGCAGGGGTCGCGGTGGGAGGGCCACCACGGTCGCTGTGGGACGGGGTCGTACTGCGGGCGTTAGGGGAGAGTGGGGGTGCTAGCACGGTCGGGGAGCCCCAGCTGAGCACCTGCTGCGGGTAGAACCCACGGGCTCGTCCCGGGGATGGCGCTCCCAGGGTGAGCCTCCTGCTGCTACCGCATCCCCCCCCCACCTGCAGGGTCCCAGGGAGCCACCCGCAAGTACAAGGTGTGGATGCGGCATCGCTATGTCAGCTGTTGCTGTCGCCTGGCGGAGCTGCTGGCCCACCCCTCCTTCCGGGTCCGGGTGAGTCTCATTGGGCTGCCCTGGTTGGTGTTCTGTGGGGGGAGCCAGGTACCCTGCCTCCTGGGTTGTGGTTTGCAGGAGTGTGGCATGTGGGTAGCCAGCCCTCCTCCGAGGCTTGTGGTAGATGGTGCACCACAGGTGATAGTCATACACGGTGACTGAGTCTAGCTTTGCATCCCAGCTCTGCCGATTCTGGCCTTGACCCGGGGCAGCTGCCTCAGCGGCCTTGTCTCCACCACGTGACTCAAGGCCCGCCTGGCCAAGCCACGTGAAAGCAGGCCAACTCAGCGTGTGTATGTGTGGTGCCCACACAGCACTGGGCGCTGTCATGACTGCCCCTGTGCAAGTCGGGGTGTTTGGTCTGTCTGTAGCCACATACGGTCTTCCCCAATGGGTCTACAGCCATGGGCGCAGGCCGGCTACGATCCTCAGTAACGTACTGCACTTAACACGTACGGTTCAATGTTTTTAGTTTCTAACCGGCTGCGCCATCTTATGTCTGTACCACCAGTAAGCCAGTGTTCTGTTTTTTCATGTTCTTGTCGGTATTTGTTGTATTATTTCTAAATACAGTCAAGGCTCCAACTTTTAAGAGTTAAGGAGACGTTATACAAAAATTCTCATTCCCAGCTTTTCACCAAAAAAGCGGGCACTCTTCTGCTGCCAGGCCCACAGCCACGCATGGCACCGTTTGTCCAGAGGGAGAGCAGGTGTCCCTTTTGAAGGGCACATCTCGTCCAGTTTGCCGCACTCCCCACTACTCTCTGTCGTTTCACACATGCCTGGGCTGTGAAGGTGTTGAGTTTGCAATCCTGGTGTTAGACCTGGAAGATGAGCCAGGGTAAACACTGCCTGCTGGGTCCCTGCTTTGTGCCAGGCACCGTGGTGGTGTGTCACGCCTGCGTTTCCTCAGCTGTTCTCAAGGCAGTCTTATTGAACAGGTGACAGGAGAGTGGTCAACTGGCTCCCAGGCCAGGCCCTGTCTGCACACAGCACAGGTTCCAACGTGTTTTACGGGCAAAGAACGGGGTCACGGGTGGCAGAGTCTGTTCTTGTCATTGGCCTGTAGTTAGTGGACTAAGGGTTCGTACCACCTTACTTTCCCGCCTGCTGACCCGGTGCTGGGTCTGCTCGTGGGGGCCTCTCCTGGCCCAGGTTGGCCTTTGCGCCTGGTCTGCAGGGGCATGAGGGGGATGTGATGTGCAGCTGGGTTGTCATGGCCACTTTACCCCCTCTCCTCCCAGGAGCTGGCCCTTGGCACCCTCATGAAGTTTGTGCAGCTAGAAGGCTCACACCCTCTGGAGAAACCCAAGTGGGAGGGTCACTATCTGTTTCCTCGTGAGCTCTTCAAGGTGAGGGGCTGGGCAGGGCTCTGGGCTACTGGGTGCGCTGGTTCTTACACCTCACGCTACGTAGTAGTGGGGTTTCTGTGGGTGTGGCTGCTGGGCTCACCACTTGCCCTGTCTGCTGGCACCCTCCCTCCTTGCTGACCTGGGGGTATGTCTGCTGGTGCCCTGCCCTCCCCGCCAGCTGCCCTGGGGGTGCACTCACCTCTGTCTCCACCAGCTGGTGTTAGAAGGCCTGCTGTCACCGGAGGAGGACCACGCCCTGCTCCTCTCCCAGTTCCAGGGCTACCTGGAGTATGATGACATCCGCTACCATACGATGCAGGCGGCCACAGGCGTCATGGCCAGGGTGACTGACGGACGAGCTGAGGTGAGCCGGGTGGTGTCTCCCAGGCAGGCAGCAGGGGTGCATGGCCTCTGGGTGCTCAGCCAGCCTCCTGCAGGTGCCGCTCACCTTCTGGAACAACGCCTTCACGCTGCTGTCTGCCGTGAGCCTGCCGCACCAAGAGGGTAGCTCCCCCAACTTCTTTGTGAAGCATACAGGTGAGAGGCCATGGATGGAGAATACCGTGGGTCCCTGGGAGTAGAGCGGAGTGGGGGTGTTCCACGTGTGTGTGTCTCAGCCAGACACTCCTTACAGGTCCATCAGACAAGTGGAAGGTGGTTCATCTGAAGGTGAGGTGCTCCAGCATGTGGGTGCAGACCTGAACCTGGGGCTCACTGGGTGGGACCAAATCTTCCAGGCCTGGGTCAGCCCGGCCCAGAAAGGCACCGTATCCCTGTGTTCTGGGACAGAGGTGACCATCGGGGTGGCTGACAGGCACGTGGTGGTGGGGTGAGAGCTGTGGGAGCCACGGCAGAGGTTGGGGTCCAGAAGGCTCCTCTCACTGAGGTCTCCGTGGCTGGGTCCCTACAGACAACGTCACCAAGGCCCTGAGGCTTTCAGGCGCTTCAGGGAGCAGGGACTGGTCCTGCCCGTCTCCCGGCTCTGAGGCAGCCCTGGGGCTGTGGGCCGGGGGGTCCAGGTGCAGAGGGGAGGCCAGAGGTGCAGGAGGGAGCGCAGGGCTGGGCCGCGGTGAAGGCTGCCATGGGCAGGGCGTCCTCACCGCCATCTGCTCCCCGCAGGAGCACAGAAAAGCCTTCCAGCTCATGTGGCTCAGCTTTCTCCAGTACAAGGTGGGCGGGGGCGGGGGCGGGGGCGGGGGCAGGGCAGGCGTGCACGGGTGGGGGTGGGAAGGCAGGCACTGCGGGGTGAGCACGGGCGGGTGGGGGGCAACAGTGGCCACCCCCAGGTCACCCCGCCTGCCTGTACCCCCAGTTGCCCATCAGCCTGTGTAAGAAGGTGCTGCTGACCATGCATGAGTCCATTCTCCCGCACCTGGCGCAGCCCACGCTCATGACGGACTTCCTGACCGGCGCCTACGACGTTGGTGAGCAGGCCGACACAGCGTTTGGGGTCCGGGGGCACCTCCGGGTGGAGATGGGGAGGCCCTGGCCCTGAGGGTCAGCACACTGAGGGACTCATTTCTCTGCAGGAGGTGCCATCAGCCTCTTGGCCTTGAACGGACTCTTCATTCTCATCCATAAACACAACCTGTGAGTGGGGGCGGCCGTGGGCCCTTCCCTACTGGGCCGAGTCCCTGCCTAAGGCGCTTTGAGGGACCTCCGTGGGGTTGGGAAGAGGAGTAGGAGGAGGTGGGACTGCAGCCAGGGGGGGGTTGGTGGTGTGCTGGGCCTGCCTCGTCACAACGCCCCACTTCCAGGGAGTACCCCGACTTCTACCAGAAGCTTTACAGCCTCTTGGACCCGTCTGTCTTCCACGTCAAATACCGAGCCCGCTTCTTCCACTTGGCCGACCTGTTCCTGTCGTCCTCGTGAGTGCTGGCGCAGGCACGGGGCGGGCTGTGCTGCGGGTGGGTTTGCTGGTTGTCCCTCAGGGAGGTGTGGGGTCAGGAGAAGGGCAGTCCCCCAGGCACAGGGAGCCAGCAGAGAGCCGTCGGCAGGGCGTCTCCCCCTGTCCCTCCCGTCACGGGCCCGTCCCCAGCAGAGCCTCGGACTGGGATGGGGCCTCACACCTTCCTGCCCCGCAGCCACCTCCCTGCCTACCTGGTGGCGGCTTTCGCCAAGCGCCTGTCTCGCCTGGCTCTGACAGCGCCCCCGGAGGCCCTACTGATGGTGCTGCCGTTCATCTGCAACCTGCTGCGCAGACACCCCGCCTGCCGGGTCCTTGTGCACCGCCCCCAGGGCCCTGGTGAGTGAGGGTGCAGTTGGGGAGGGAGCGAGGGCCCGGGCAGGGGCCGGCGCACACCACCTCCGGATCTTGTCCCCAGAGCTCGATGTGGACCCCTATGACCCTGAGGAACAGGACCCCGCCAAGAGCCATGCCCTCGAGAGCTCCCTGTGGGAGCTGCAGGTGAGGCTCCCCACCCATCCTCACTCCCCCGACATCTGACAATCCACTTTGCTCGCTGACTTGTGTCTGAACCTTCCCACTCCTACCGCACAGCCATGTTAAAGACGTGGCAAGCATATACTCTTTGAGTGCTTGCTTGTTAGAGCGCTACTCCTGTTTTCTCTGGGAAGATGACGTACCCCCTGGTCCCCCTTCCCCCAGGCCCTGCAGAGGCACTACCACCCTGAGGTGTCCAAGGCTGCCAGCGTCATCAACCAGGTGCTGTGCGTGCCGGAGGCCAGCATTGCACCGCTGCTGGAGCTCACGCCCTATGAGGTGAGGGCAGGAGGGGCTGTGGGGGGTGAGGTGAAGGGGTGCAAGGGGCACAGTGGGGACCCAGGTACACAGGACCGTGCCTGAGAGCCAGCCACCTGCCCTCCAGGTCTTCGAGCAGGACTTGAAAAAGAAGGTTCCGGAGCCAGTCCCGCTGGAGTTCATCCCACCCGTGGGCCTCCTGGGCCGGCAGGGAGAACCCTGTGCCCAGTACTTCTCCCTCAGCTGATGCCCCCCACCCAATAAATCATTTTCTAGAATTATGACTCTGGTGGGAAGTGGACAGTGGGGGGCTGCCCTCTCCTGGCTGGCTGTCAGGGGCTCCCATGGCTGCCCTTCTTGGGATGCAGTTTGGCCAGCTGCCCATGGTGCACCTGGGGCCTCTTCCATCATGTGTGCCTGGGGGCACGGTGACAGGAAGGACCTGTCTCTGCCTGGGTATAGTCACCAGGGGTGACCCACCTCGGCTGGAGTGGTTATAGGTGGAGCCGGCAAGGTGCCAGCTCCTCAGTATGCTCTCCGCCACGGCCGGAAGGCAGGAGACCTACCTGCACTCGCTTTCTGCCAGAGCCGCCCACTCCAGGTTGTCGCATGTCCCAGGGCAGCACAGCTGAGCCTTCTAGAGATCTTTAAGGAGGAGTCAGATGAACCGGGGCTGCAGGCTTGTCAGGTGATGAGGGAGGTCGGGTGTGTAGGGCAGCCCACACAGCATTGGGAGTGTCCAGGACTCGGGGTGACTGCCAGAGCCCCCCTTCTACAGCCCCCTCCCTGCCCCCCACCCCCCACTCCCGAGGTGAGCAGGGGGCCTGGAGCGCTCACAGCGTGCTCAGCGTGCTCTTGACCGTGGATCCTGATGTTTGCTGCCTGATTGGGTCCTAGGAGCTGCCCTGTGGTCCAAGGCCTTGAGCAAGGGGTCGGAGTGAGGCAGCACCCAGAGTCCAGGGACGGAGCCGCACACCCTGTGTGTGGGGTGCTTGCTACTCCCCCCGGAACACGGTGGGCTGTTTCTGCCCCAGGGCCTTTGCACCGGCTGGGCCCTCATCCTCGCTCCAGGCCCCGCCCGGGCCAATGTACAGCGGGCCGTGCTGTGCGGGGGCGTGCATGCATGCCTTCACACGTGTGTGTTCACGCTCACGCACAGTCCACTGTGTCTCCGTGACGTTGGCCCATCTAAACCCCACGGTTATGCGTAGATGCCACCCCCAGTGAGAACTCGGGGCGTGCGGGCAGGCAGGTGTGCTCTGTCCTGCTCACACTCCCCAGCGCCGAGGTCGTGGCGTCAGCCCTGTGGGCGCTTGCTCTGCCTGGCGGTGTCCTGAGCGCGCGCAGCCGCCAGGGGCCGCTGCAGCCCAGCTGTGGCCTCCTCCAGACCCCGAGGGCCGAAAGAGCTGCCCTGGTGTGGGCGTGATTCACCACGCAGATTTCCTCACCGTTGCCTGCGCCTCAGGGCCTGCCCTCAGTCCTGTGGCAGGTGCCAACCCCAGGTGGCCACCTATAACACCTGGGGTACCTGAGTTGGGAAGATGTGGGGCACCTTCTGGGAGCCAGAACCAAGGCTCCTGGGCTGTTGACGTTGAGAAGCCACAGCCCACATCTCCATGAGGAGCAGCCCCTGGGGTCCGCACCCGCAGGCCTAGGACTCAGGGTGCCTGTTTACCCCCGACGCAGCCCTGGGCACTGATCCCTACTTCTGCCCCATGAAGGGGAGCTCAGTGGGGTGTGCTCTCCCGATGGTGACGCAGGGAAGCTATTTCCTGCCCTGTGGGGCCCTGGGTGGAGGGGTGTCCACTACGTTTCCAATGGTTCTTCCTGGTTCAGCTGGTGGGAGTGGGATTCCATCATTGGAAGGACCTTGTCTGGTGGAATTGCCACTTAATGAAACGCCAAACTTAATGTCTCACCAAGGATCAAAGAGGCCTCTTCTGGGGGCTACGGGGGCCCGTCCCCAGCCGACCACCCTGAGCGTCCAGTCCCAGTTCTGATAACCCCGTAGCTCCGGGAGTTTAGACACTGAGGGGGCCATTTGACTGTCACCTGCTAGGTTCTCACTGTGCACGGGACACATCCTCCCAAATGGCGAAGACTCAAATATTCCACGGACTGCCTGAAGGTACACGTCTGTCCTGGAAGGACAGGCATGATGCTGCTCAGGAATGAGAATGACCAGACTTGTCTCAGGCTTTTGTGGTATCGTGAGAGGCCAGTCCCTGGAGAAGCACAGCCTGCTTGGTAAGGTAGAGGGTCAGTGACAAAATGAAGACTCAACAGGGTAGGCCGACAGTGGCTGCAATGATAGGTTCAAGCCTGGTGTGGTTGTGAGGTTGGTGCAGGATGGACCGTGTTCCATTCTGGTCTGCGTGTGGTTGCTAGGAGTTGGGCTCGAGGGCACCTAACAACGACAGGTCCTCACGGTCCACACAGGACAACACTTTCTCCCTGGGTGTGTTTGTAGATTGCAGCCTGTTCTGACTT